GAGAGAAGTCAAACAAAGGATTCGAGCGAGGGCGGCCTACGTTTCTTATAGGTATCTCAACTAACCAGTATGCTAAGTTTATTTTTAGGTATATCGTAATCCCAACGGATACAAATGAAATGGGAAAGCAATATCCCTACAAATCCACATCGGTATGGTCACCTCATAATAGACCATCGCCCAAGTACGAAATCCAAAGTTGAACGACCACTTTCGGGTAAGGATGATTAACTCAATTCATTAGGTAAAATTGGCAAGTGATCACCGTATGTTTAATTTCTAGGGTAGGCTATCCGTTACAATAAGGCCACGCATCGCACATTTAATTTTTAGGGCGAGTCGCCCTTTACAACAAGGCCACACATTGCACGTTTAATTTCGAGCACGTTTAATTTCAAGGGTAAGTCTGCTGTTTACAACAAGGTCACGCATCGCACGTTTAATTTCTAGAATAGGATGTCCTTTATAATAAGGCCACGCATCACATGTTTAATTTCTAGTGTAGGCTAACCTTTACAAAAAGGTCACGCATTGCATGTTTAATTTCTAGGGTAGGTCGCCCTTTACAACAAGGTCATGCATTGCATATTTAACTTTTAAAGTATGTCATCCTTCATAACAAAGTCATCCCATCACAACTTTACTTAAAATTTTTTTTTCTTTATAAGCTTATTAAACAAAGTCATTGAAAAACATTATTTTCACGTGCACCATAAGCATTGTAAAGAGGGGCAAGCTGTAATAACTCAAAATTTACCCCTTTTTATTTTTATTTATTTTATTTTGTTATTTTATGTATGTTTTGTTTTATTTCAATTGAAGTTTATCAAAAAAAATAATGAAAAACATAAAAACATTATTTTAGGGCATAATCACATTTCAAGGAATGCATGATTGAGATAATTAATGGTATAATCGAATTAATTAAAAATTTAGACCCTAAATTGAACCTCACAAGAACCCAATTGATAGGATTGTGTTGAAATTATACCACAAAAGGGCGTAATTGCTAAAATCGAAATGCATAGGGATCAAATTGGAATGTTGGAGCGGACAACGGGATCGAAATTTGGAGAACGACTTGTCGTCCACTCCAAATCTAGATTCTTTTCGAAAATCCTTGGGAGAATCTACCAAATCTTCCATCAAATTTTCTGTTTTGATTGTGCATTAATCATGGATTCTTGGCCAAAATCAATACCAACGAAAGCAATGACCAAATTTTCTCGTTTTGATGTCACATTAATTATGAATTAAAGAGGAAATATTTTGATAAAAAAATTCGGGATTGAGATTTGATTCTAGGAGAAATTCTAGGAAGTTTTGGCTATAAAACATGTTTGATTTTACAGAACAAAAAAAAGGAAAAATTGGCGAGAAATTCGATTAAAAGAGAGTGAAAATCGAGAGCTAAAAATCCAAAAATTAGGGTGACAATTGTTAGGTTTACGGGTTCGTGTTCTTGGGTTTCTTGGTGTTCTTGATTCTAGTTCATAGGGTATCGGTCCCTTTCGACTCGTTGTTTTGGGTTTCCGGGGCTAAATACCCATCCTCACGTTCTTCTCCACTTCTTTGTCCAAATTTCGTGGCTCAATTCTTCCATTTTCTATTCCTCGAGTTTCGGGTAGATTACCGTCGTTCTTAGCTTTGTAAGGTTTGTTCTTTATTGTTGGGTTGGATTCATCATTCCTTGGGTCTATTGAAAAGGCATTTGGGTTTTGGTTTAAGGGAGAATATCGATGGTTGGGTGCGGCAAACGAAGAGTCAAGGATAAGGATTCAAAAATCGTGAGTAATCATCACTTTGGGTTCTTTGTTTCCTAGATTTTTTTGGGTTTTACGGTAAAAGTTCTTTGAACGTTTCCGGTTAGCACTTAGGGTTTGATCCTCCCGTTTTTGTTTGTTCATTTTTTTAATCTTTTATTTGTTATTTCGTTCATGATCCGATTTTGCGTAATTGAATCTTTTGATCAAAGATGAGTTTTTATTTCCTAAAAAATTTAAAGAACTAGAGAGAGAAACTGAAGAACAAACTAAGAACTAGAGAGAGAGGGTCGAGAAAACTCATTTGATCGAAAATGAGGGAGGTTTCTGTCGTTGGGTTTGATTTTGGGTTTTCGACCTAGTTAATAAAGAGAAGCGTGGGCTAGGACAAGCCCAACACCCCATTGAACAAATCAGTCCAGCCTGACCAGACCCACGAAATTAAAAAAGAGGGGCCGGACTAGGTTCATTCCGACTCTATGCCACTTTACCAAAAAAAAAAAAAAAAAAAGGAAGAAGAAAAAATGCAAGAGGTTCCAGACCTCTTCAAAAAATAAAAAAATAAAACGAAAAGGTTGATTCCATTCCAGCCTTCTCCAAAAAAAAAAAAAATTTAATAATAATAATAAATGAAAAAGGGTAATAAAAGAAATAAAAAATAGAATTAGGGAAGAAAAAATAAAAAGGTTGATTTTTTTTTATTCATCTATCTCTCTTATTTTATTTTTATTTTTTTTAGCTTGTTTATTTTTATTCCTTTTTGTTTTATATTAATTTAGAATTGTTACTTCAATTTTTTTTTCTTTAACATGTATTATTAGAAAAAAATTATAAAAATCTTGACGAAGTCTCATATCGAATAAAGACCGACGTCACACAAAAAAAATGCCTAGAAAATTTGGCAAAGCCTCCTACTTGGTAGGGACCGACGTCACAAAAAAAAAAATAAATAAATGAAGTCAACGAAGTTTCCTATTTAATAGGGATCGACGTCACAAAAAAGAATATTCAAGATTTTCGACGAAGTCTCCTATTTGATAGGGATTGACGTCACTAAAAATTACTTTTTAATTAAGATGTCTTCCGAAACGTCAATTGTTTCAAGGCTTTTAGTAGATCCAATGATTGAATCGACATGTAACTCGACGAAAGGGACCAACGATCATTTCAATATGATGTCACGCCCAAAACTAAAACAATTCAATTTGTCTTAAAAAAAAATAGGAGTTTAAAAATTAGAAAATAGTTTGACATGGAGTTTTAGGAGATGATTTTAGAACTAAACCATACATGGTACCTTTTTTTAAAAGGACACTTTTAGGCGATTAAATATCTTCCTAAAAGTGTAACCAACTCCTTACCTTAGGAAAAATCTTTGAACCAATACTAATTTTATGTTCCTAGTTCCTTAAATACTAGGTGACGACTCTAAAATTCTATAAATAATTTTTTTAACACTTAACGCTTAGATTTAATCTTTCGGGAGTCCCGTCCGATGTCGTGTAGCGACACTATATATGAATTTTTAATATGCTTTTAATAAATAATAAAATTTATGTATTTCTTTACCTTATTCTTGATATAATCAATCTTTTAGGAATAAAATTTTAAATTATTTTTATTGTACTCTATTAACTTTAATATATTTTTTACAACTTAAATGTATTAAAACATATTTTTTTCATTTGTGCATAGCATGGTAATGATGTATACAAAAAAAATATTAAGATAATTGATTTTATTAAAAATTAATTATACATCTATACATATAACACCAACTATTTCCTATTAATTATTTTTAATATTCTAAACTTAATTTATTTTAAACAAAATAATATTTTAAAAGAACCATCTAATAATTTAAATATATATTTTTATACCTAATATTATTGATTGTTTTGTGTGTCTATATATCAAATGTACATATTTTGAAAGAATTTTAAAAAATTCATTAGTTAATTTTTATACAAAGTTTTATATTGATTGTTGATATATTTCTCCGATGTAGTCTTATAAAAAAAATATTAAGATATTTTAAAAAACTTATATTTATATTATTATAGGTTTTTATTTAAGAACGAATGAATAAAAAAATGAATCTTTTTTTTTAACAATAGAAAATTTTTAAAATATAAAAATTTATAATTTAATTTACAATTCAATAATTTTTTTCATTATAAATTAAGTAAAAATATGAAAAGAGATATTTTTAAAATAAAAAATAAATTATTCATGGGTAACACTCGATTAAAAAAATAAATAATTTATTTTTTAGTTATTCTTTTTTATGTTCTAAAATCAGCATTTTTTTAAATGAAATAATATTTTGAAAGAACCTTTCAATTATTCAAATACAACTTTTTATACTACTATTATTGATTATTTTTTAATAAATATATGTAAATCAAATAATTTTACTCAATAAATAAATTTGATTTACATTAATTACGAAAAATAAGATTATTACCTACACTACATTATATTAATCATTAACTTTACATATATAACGAGTTGTTCGATCATAATTTAGTATAATTATCTAATTAGTTATTATCTATAAAAAGTAATATCATTTACTTTTCATCCTTATAAAACAAATTTATATAAAAGCTTTCAAATAATTTTTTTTATAAGTTTTAAACCGTCTTATTATTAAATTGTTAAAACTCTTTATCGTATATTGTTAAACAATGAGAAGACTATGCAACTCATTTCGCTGCAACGCAATGCACGAAAAGCAACCTAGCAGCTAACTATTACTATATTTGCATCTGAAGACTAACAGCCCTGGACTCATTTTCACTTTCTCTACATATATTAGGAAACCTAGCTAACCTAGCAATAAGCCAAACCCTAGTCATCTATCTAAATTACTAGGCTACAAAAGTTGAAAAGATTGCCATCAGTCCCTGCCATCATTTGCTGCCCCCACATTAAGAGCCACAAAACTATGTGTTTGTCATCCAGTTCTGCACGGATTGTTTCTCTCTTTGCTTTTGCCCTAAAGTTTGAGAAGAGAGAGAGAGAGACGCCTTAAACCCTTTTATCCCTAATATTTAGCAATTAATTACTCTTTCATTCTCAGTCTTATAACAATGAACGTCTTTCAACAAGTTATATTCTGTCCTTGTTTGCAGAGAAGTGAATCTGAAAAAGATTAAATGCGTAGAGGTTTTCTGGACGGCAACCACAAGCAGTTTCCTTTTTTGATATCAAACTTTTTTCCTTTGTAAGCAAATGTACTCTTCCATCAATAGTGCTACCAATCCTTTTCCAAACCTTTCCTCTTCTCCTTACAACCCCTCGCCTTACATTACTGACCATGAAACTAGTGATATTTTCTTTTACCGCCACCAAGACCCACTCACAATTCCTTTAATCCCAACTATCCCAATACCAGCCACTGAGACCGAGCTGAACATGGCAGCTTCAAGCAACGCCATGATGTCTAAACTAGATGTTCATGCTCTCAACGCAGAACAACACACCCCTTCTCATATTCTTGGTGGAAAAGGATCTGTGAAAAAAGATAGGCAAAGTAAAATCTACACATCTCAAGGCTTGAGAGATAGGAGAGTGAGATTATCTATTGAAATCGCCCGTAAGTTCTTTGATCTCCAAGACATGTTAGGGTTTGATAAAGCAAGTAAGACCTTAGACTGGCTGCTCACTAAATCAAAAAAGCCATTAAAGAACTATCACAGAATGGAGGTGTGAAAAGTTTATCTTCTACTTCACAATATTGTGAAGTTGTTTCTGAAACTGGTGACCTAGAGGAGAGAGTACCTTCAAAGAGTGAGCCACTAACCGGTCTTTCTGATGAGAAAATTAGGATGAAGAAGTTGCAAAACACAGCAGTCAATCTTCTTGCTAAAGAGTCAAGGGAAAAGGCTAGAGAAAGAGCAAGGGAAAGGACTAGAGTGAAAATGAGCACTAGAAGGCTCCATGCGCCAAAAAAATTTCCTGACTCTAGCCCTAGTTGCTTGAACCAGCTATGGTCCTTGAACCAACAAATCGACAGTCATGATCAAGTTGAAGGTCCAAGCTCTCACTACTCATTTGCCAATCAATCGCCTAAAGGAAACATCATCGAAGAATCGATAGTGATCAGGAGGAAGTTTAGGCCATCTGCAACAATGGGTTATCAGCAAAACCTTCTAATGTTAAAAGATGCAAGGTGCAACTACAACTTCTGTGCTATTACCAACATGAATCAGTCTACAGGTTTGTTATGAAAACATAACACTTTCTCAAATTCAAGTCACAATTGATATAATTTCCTCAATTTTTGCAGAACTACAACTCCATGGCAAACTTTGGGGGACTGAGAACAATTGATGCCAGCAATATATAAGATGGTGTATGACCAGTACTAATAAAAGATGTAAGCTTCAGTTCTTTTGCTGTATCTTTTGGTATCCCAGAAATATAGTACCTTTAATGTACGAATATATTTATCTCTTATCTATGTGTGTTTGTCTTCCTCAATTGTATGGTTTTATAATTATTTATTTATTTAGGGATCTAAAGAAACAATTTTTTGTTTCCTTTTTTTTTTTTTTTTTTTTTCAATTCGTGAAGAAGAAAGAAAGAATGCTAATTACCCTACGAGAGAAATTTTATACTACTCAAATTACACAGAATTTAGCGAAAACAATGCTTTATATATGTTTTTTTTTTGGTTGCTATTACTAAAAAGTTTTCTCAAAATTAACCGCATAAATTTACCCAAAACGAAGGCTTCTTTTTTATGTTGAACATTAGCAGAAGTTAATTTCACAGAAATCACATATTGGAAGAATGAAATATTGACAGTGGTGATTCCCTTTTATCAAGCAGGACTCTTTTCATTGCTAGAAGTATTGGTCAAAGCATTATAAACAAGAATGAAACCAATAAAATAAAAGGAAAGAGAGAATTTTTCAAGCTGTATATGGAACTTACAACCAGTGATCAGCTTTAGAGGATGCTTTGTTCTTTTCCCTTTTTTCTTGAATTTCATACGTTGAGAAGAAGAAATTTTTGTGATGTGTCATTGTCGTGGCTTAAATAAATTGATACAAAAATGAGAGTAGGTTATGGATATTTCCTGTCATTTGTCTTAAAAGATGCTTGTGACATTTTTCTTCTTAGTTATCAAACAACATATACTTTAGGAGGACATGAAAAGCATTATATATAGCAAAGTACATTTGCCTTTGGCGTTGAAAGTTCATGTGTCTCTTCTTATTATCAAGTACTATGAGAAATGAGAATAGATGCTTAACCAACATATATAGCATTTCTACAAAATCTTCATTAATGCAACATTATCGCGTCTTCCTACCACTTGACAGAAGCCCAGGTTGAAGTCCATCTTTGTGATTGAAAGGTTGAAGTTTATCTTTAGACAGAGAGGCTTGAGTTTAATTAGGGCATATATCCTAAATTTCAATTCTACTCCAAACTCTGAACCTTCCAAGTTTGATCCCAAAAATTCTGCAAATAATAATAATAATAAATAAATACATGTTTTCTTCATGTATATTGTTTAATGCTTCAAGCTTATGGATTGTATTTGGTATATATTCATATCATGCTTATAATTAATAAGTTGAGTGACCTGCACATATTAGTTATATGACTCGAGAAAAAACCAAAAATATATAAATCGTAAGTATTTGGGTAAGGTTTAAGTAATTTTTTTTTTTTTTGGGTAGAATTTTGAAGATTTTTTTTCTTTTTTCTTTTTGTTATGATGTGATACCACATAGGTAATGTCATTTTTTAAAATTTAATTTAATTAATTTTATTAAGAATATTGGAATTAGTTTAATAGTTGGACACAATTTCTATTAAAAAAATCATGTCAACTCAAACTTAAATTGTTGATTGATGTTATACTATTAAGTGAGACTCTAGAAATAATACATTTTGTGCATAATAAAAAAAAAAAGTACAGATGATGAGATTTAAATTCGTGACCACTTGGTCATCAAGGTTCTAATTTTATGTTTAAAAATCAAACAATTTAAAGGTCTAACCTAGAATAAGCTCTAGGAATGTTAAGTGAGGCTTTAGAAATACTTTTTTATTACTCTATAATAATTTCTATTTCAAAAAAAGAAAAAAAATATTATGCACAAAGTATTAATTTTTTTTTTGGGTAATTGACTTGTGAGATATTTTTGTAAAGACCCTCTTGTCGTCAAAGTTACTCATTGTAAAGTTACTCATTGTTATAGTGCTGTTCCATATTAATTGTGTAACCATCAACCTTAATAACTAACTATTCTTATATTTTCTTCTTTTGATAAATATTTAAATAGATCCTTGAAACAATTAAAGTTTTTTCAAATGTTTTCGAAGAAATTAAGGACACAGCTCATATTAAACTACCAGAGCTTAAATGACTAGTTTCTTAATTTGTACCCTTCATGCTTTAGGTTCATCTTTAATTTTTCTCAGCATTGTCCTTAGCCTTCTCACTTCCCTTCCATCTATACCTGTTTATCTACCGAGATGAAGTTCCTACCCGAAGTTGAATATATGAAACAACATGCAAATAGTGAACTTATTATTTAATTTTTTAACAAGCACAAATAGTTAATTTTTTAAATATTTGCAGAATTTTTTTTACTTAAAATATAAAAATCTAGGAATTGGTTTTTAAGGGAAATTAATTAAAGAATGTTAGTTATGTGTAATACAAAGGATCTTCAAATGAACTACTTAGAGATTTCTTCTTCAAGAAAAAAAGTGTTAAAAAAAAAAAAAGAGAAGGATTTCTTGTGGAAAATATAGTTAATTTAGAAAATGAAGCTCATTAGTTGATAAGTCTTTCTCATAAAAATATAAGACTTATGAATTGCTATTATAATAGGTCTCATATTTATTTATTTTTTGTGAAAGAATGGAATACAACTCCTATTATACCTAATACTTTCTTCATTCGTCATTGTTTGGATCATTTAGGGTTCATCAAACAAGTCCTTTTCCATTCCATTTAGGTCTAATGTTGTGCCTCGTCTAGAAAGCCTTTTCTTGTCATCTTTTGGAATGCATGGCTTTGTGCTTGTCCGTTTACGACATAAAAATTAAGGATACTTGTTATCACTCCATTATTGCATTTTGAAGGAAAATGGTATTTTCTTGCCAAATTATCGTACCACATGTTAGACAAATTTCACATCCGGTTGTAGCTAGTTGTGCTAAGTTGTACTAATTAAATAGCCGTTTTATTGGATTTTTCAGCCAATTTAATGAAATTTAATCATTAGATAACACCTTAGCATGTTATAGAATTATAGATTTATAGAATCTTATGTTACGCCGAGTAAAAACAAAACCGGGTAGCAAGTGGCAAGAGTGTCAAAAGGAGCCAAGTAGGTGTTTTAGGTCCTCGTAGAAACCCTTTCTAACCCTCAAAATCTGCTTAGGTCTCAATCACTAGCCATTAGGTGGAGAATTATCGTAGCTTGTTTTTCTTTCTTCGAGAATGAATTTATCTTCTTAGCACGGAAGAAGTACAATAAAAATAATATTATCTTTGTTTTTTGTGCATGAAAAGATTGAAATCAAAACCTTCAATTTGTACTCTTCATTATCTAGTTCCAAACTAGTTTAATACATGTTTTTTTAGTTGTCAAGTATCACATTATCACATTTTTTCGAAGACTAAGCTAAGATAGCAAGAAGGATTAATTGCTTCATATTTTATCATCCAAACTTTCGAATCTTAGGAAATGCTAATTTATCAAGTAATTTATATTACAAGTTGACTACCATTAAAATTAAAGCGAGCTAAGAAAATATGCACACCAACTCAAATGAGTATTAATAGAAGGAAAGTCTTGTCGTTGCTTGAGCAATCTATCAAAAACATCATTTGTTTCCTCTAGCTTTTCATACAATTTAAGAAAATTATTAATTATTATATTATATCAATATTTTTTGTTTATATTTTTCTATAATACTCTTTTTGTTAAAATTATTAGTTATCAAATTGAATAATGCATTAAATGAAATAATTATTAATTTAAAAAGAAAATCTATCAAAAAATAAGGCTGTAAATAAAAAAAATCATTAAGTTAATTCACAATTACATTAAAAAAATTATGAAAAAACAGTATACTAATAAAAATAGTTTACATTCAAAATTTCTACATGCAGTAAAGTATTTTTAAAAATAAATATTTTTCATGTAAAAAAAATATTGAAATATTTATGTTAAATGTATTTGTATGTATAAAAGAAAAATATAAAGAAATTGATTTTTTTAGTAAATAATAGAAAATTGAAGAAAAAATTGATTTTTTTTAGTAATTAGTAGTATTTTAGAAAAATATATTATTTTAAATGTTGATGTGACAAATATTTTGAGACAGATAATCTATTTGGGACAGACAATGTACTTTTTTCTTCACTTTCTTGTTTATTGATCGTAATTTTTTTATTTTATTTTCATAGCATCTCTCTTCTGCTAAAATGGTAGTTCTTTTTCTTATTAGTCCTTTGCATGCTTTTTTTCCCCCATTAAAGGATCAACAGGTACTGGGACTCCATAAGGACGTTACTGTCTCCTTTTTCGGGTCCCTTTCCCTTTTGGAGTTCGAATATGAGAACTTCGGCTATAAACCAAGTATTTGTCTATCTATGCTTTGGGGTTTTAAACTTTATACCAAAAGAAAATTATAGGGTAAGTAAACTTCATTTTTACCCCTCATAAGTTCATTAATGTTTCATTTGTTCCTTTCCGGTATAAATTTCACAATATCATCCTTCTCATTATCCTGTGACCCTTAATCAACTTCTTCTTTAGCTTTTTTCAAAAATGTTATTAATTGTTTATATATATAAACAATTAGTAACATTTTTTAAAAAAGCTAAAGAACAAATTGATTAAGGGTCACAGGATAATGAGAAGGATGATATTGTGAAATTTATACCGGAAAGGAACAAATGAAACATTAATGAACTTATGAGGGGTAAAAAATATATATATAAAGGGGATTTAAGAAGAAAAAAAATGAGAGATACAAAAAATATAAAAAGTCAGTTATTTCTTATAATTATTTCATAGCGAAAGGTGAAATTGAAACTTTTTAGAACCTAGCAGGTAACTTTGGGTAATTTTAAACAAGCGGATAGAAGTGGGACGCGACGTTGATGAATCTATGGGGGTAAAGTATAGTTTGTCCAAAAATTTATGTCTATTGGTATGGCTGGAACTTCCGTTATATATTAGTTTGCTCATTGTTGGGCTTTTAAGGTATAGGCTGTTTAGCCCATTGTTGGGCTCGTACTAGCTCTGATCGAAGCTATCAAGCTCATAATCCAGAACTTTATTTCCCAAATACTAATTGCTCTGTTTTTTAGGAGTAATTGTAAATTAGTTCAACACGTGACTAATTTAATTTTTTTATTTTATAAAATAAATTCTTTTCACATTAATCTTTTCATATTTTTTATTTTTTTCTATTTTTTTTAAAAATCAAAATAAATTAAAAAATAATACAATAATAAAATAATTAGTTTTTTTAAAATAAAAGAGCTAATTAATTCATTTCTCCAAGCTAGTATCTAATGCTTGTTTTTATAAAAAATAAAAATAAAAAAAGGACTGATTTATAACTTTTTTTTTTTTAGTGCATCAGATTGCCAATGAATCTATATATATATATATATATATATATATATATATATATATATATATATATATATATATATATATATATAGTTGTTTATGATAATGGTTTTTTTTTTTTAATAAAACTTTGGAGTCCATTTTTAAGCTGATCTTTTACTATAACCTCTAATCAAACACGGACAGATCATTAAATGGAAAAAAAAAATTATAAGCCCAAAATAGATTTTTGAGAAGAAAACACTTTTAATTTAAAACAGATTTATTTTATTATTATTATTTGTGGTTTGCTTTCCTGGGTTTTTGATTGAGAATAGTTAACTTTGTCTCCTTTAAACGAGATTCGGTTTTTGGCTTTCCGCTCCAATAAACTATAATCGAACACTTTTGACCTACATTTTCCTTTTTGATTCTTAGTTCTTTTCGCTTTTTCAAAAAAAAAAAACCACCAACAACAATTACTACTGCTGCAACATCAACTATGATACTCTTGTTGGGAATGGTACATGGATAATCACACAATGACACAATTTGCTTAAACCATTTCCATGCATGTTTACCATTAAAGAAGTCTCACAAAAACAAATAATCTCGGTTCCAGAATCCAATATTCGTGTAGGAATGTATATATGTTGTGTTAGCCCAACGTCTAGAGTGCTTCATGGTGGTATATCGATATGAAAAACACACGGATTGTGCAAAATAAGAGGGGGTTTGTTGGGTTTCCCTCCTAGTTGGAGGATGACCCAAAAGTTTGTCTACATGAGCTCAATTTTGAAGCCCATGTAGAGGAAGATTTTATTAATCACTTAAAGGGTAATTTTGGTATTATTAAATAAACCCTATCTTCTTTTTTATTCTGAAATCAGATTAGGGAAGAAGCAAGAGAGAAAAAGAAGAGAAAAGGAGTGAGAGCCACAACTTTGGAGAGAAAGAGGAAAGAGAGTTTCACCATAGATCGGTCACGCTAAAATTGAGTTTCTAGGTTCGTTAACCGTTTGATCAAGCTCAAATTTTGTGAGCACGTTAAGGAGAGGCAGGCGCACCTTCTAGGTGGTGGAGATCGGGTTCGAGTCCTGGAGAGGGAGATATTGTGCTCGTAACGGTGCTATTTTTTGATGAAATGCGAACTTGGTTTCTTCTACTTTCTTTGTGAATCATCTTTTGATGTGGTTTGCCAAGGGTGTGTAACCTTTGATGTTTGTGGCTGATTATTCATCTAGTTTAATATAGAGAGGACTCCTTGTACCCATTATTGTTGATAGTGGAAGTTATAATGGACTTCGGTCTCGTGGTTTTCCCTTCTCAAATTGAGGAGGTTTTCCACTTAAAAATTTATGTGTGCTTTGTGTGATTGTGTTGGTTGCTTATTTTTCAAATTATTAGTTACTTGTTTAGTTTGGGTATTTGGTTGTAGCCTGTGGTTAATTGTTCAAGCAAGGGCAAAAGGGTTCCGTTGTGTTATTTGTGTTTCTTTGCCCAATAAGTGGTATCGAGCTTGGTTGTTTACTTTCATCTTGAACAACATGGAGAGTAACATTAAAATGATAAGTCCGAATGGAACCAATTATCACATGTGGAAGAGAAAAATGAAAGATCTCTTATATGTAAAAAGTTGGCATCTACCTATTTTGCTTCGGATAAACCTAAGACAAAAACATATGAGGATTGAAAGTTTGAGAATGAACAAGTTTGTGCCTTTATTCATCGAGTACATTGATGATAATGTTTCTAATCATGTTGCAAAAGAGGTGAATGCTAAAACTTTATGAAAAAATTTAGAAGATCTTTTTGCTAAAGAAATAGGGAATAACAAGATATACTTGATTAAGCGAGTGGATGAATTGCGGGTACAAGGAGAGAACTTCGATAGCTGATCACATTAATGAGTATGTGGGAATTGTTCAGCAAATGAATGCCATGAAAATAGAAATTGATGATGAGGTCCTTGGGTTATATTTGCTTGGCTCATTATCGGATTCTTGGGAGACATTTCGTACATCACATTATAATTCGCTCCCGATGGAAAGATGACCTTGACCTATGCTAGAAATGGGGTTCTCAATGAAGAGGTTAGAAGGAAGACTCAAAATTCTTCTTCCCGGTCGATGTGTTAGTTATCGTAGAAAGGGGGAGGAGTAAGAGTAAGGGTCCAAAAGGCAGAGGCAATAGCAGAAGCAAGTCTAGGGGCAAGTTTGTAAATGTGGAGTGTTATCATTGTGGTGATATGGGTCACATCAAGAAATATTGCCGAAAATGAAAGAAAGACAACAAGAAGAACAAAACCAAGCGGAATGGCAGTGATGCTGATGAAGATCGAGTAAATGCAACCGATGAGTTCCTAATTGCATATGATGTCGATGAAGTCAACATAGCATCGGATGAGCATAGTTAGGTGGTTGACATTGAAGCTTTGATACATGCTACATCTTACGGGGAGTTTTTTAGCTCATACACACTCGGTGATTTTGGGGCGATGAGGGTTGACAATAATGGGTTATCCAAAATTACCGGTATTGGAGATGTGTGCTCGAAACACATACCGAAGTAAAGCTGGTTCCGAAAAATATGAAGCATGTTCCGACTTTCGCTTGAATTTAATCTTAGTTGAAAGACTTGATGATGAAGGGTTTTGTAACACATTCAAAACTGATATGTGAAAGTTGTCCAAAGGTTCTATGGTAGTGGCAAAAGGAGAGAAGTGTTCCTCTTTATATGTCATGGATGCTAAATTATTGAATGACGATGTGAATGTTGTCGGAGGTGAGGAAGCTACCGAACTATGACACAAGAGATTGGCTCATATGATCGAGAAAGGTATGGTAGTGTTGAAAAAGAAAAATTTGTTATCCGATATGCGGTATAATCACTTGAAGAAGTGTCCGCACTGCTTGGTCGGAAAACGAATAGAGTTTCCTTTAGGAGCCGTCCACCTACAAGGAAACAAAATCCCCTTAAGTTCGTACATTCGGATGTGTGTGGTCCTATGAAAACAATGTCAAAAGGAGGTTCTTACTACTTTGTGACATTTATAGATGATTGTTCAAAGAAGGTATGGGTTTATACATTGAGATCAAAAAATCAAGTTCTTAGTGTTTTCAAGCGGTTTCGGGCTTTGGTAGAAAGACAAACAGGGAGGAAGCTTAAATGTATCCGAATTGATAATGGTGGTGAATATTCGAGCCCTTTGGATGAGTACTTGCAGGACTCAAGGCATTAAGCATCAAAAGACTCCATCAAAGACACCTCGGTTGAACGGATTGGTCGAAAGGATGAATAGGACTCTAGTTGAGAGAGTCGGATGCTTGCTTCTCATGCACGACTCGCCTAAGTCATTTTGGGGTAAGGCATTAAATACTCGTTGTTTATTTAATAAATCTTTCACCTTGTGTGCCTTTGTCATTTGATGTTCCGGACGGGGTTTGGAGTGGCAAAGATGTATCCTATGATCACTTAAAAGTTTTTAGGTGTAAGGCATTTGTCTATGTTCCTAAAGATGAGAGATCTAAGCTTGATGTGAAGACAAGACGGTGTATCTTCTTAGGGTATGATCAAGATGAGTTTGGCTACAAACTATATGATCCGATTGAAAAGAAGATAGTCGAAGTCGTGATGTTGTATTTACGAAGGATTAGACTATACAAGATATTGAGAAGAAAGAGCGGACGATGGATCGAGTCTTATGATGATCCGATAGATATAGAGCCGATTGAGCCGGTTCATTCCGCTCTAGTAGTTGAGCCAATTGAACATGATGTGCAAAATGGTTCACAAACGGACCGGGGAGTACGGAATGATAATGATCCGCAAGACAACGATCGGATTCATGATGATACATCGAGTGATGAACATGATTAAATAGTTGAACATGGTGATGAACATGTTCCATCGAAACCTTCGGACGATCTAACGGAGATCAAAGACCTTCTACTAGGTACTCTACCGATGATTATGTGTTGTTGACTAACGAGTGGAGAACCCGAATCCTACAAAGA